ACAGTTGAGGAAAAACATTCCGATGACGAGGTCCGTGTCATAAATGGAGGAAATGTGAACATTGTGGACTCCAAAAAAACGACACTACTGGTCCAAAGTTTTAGAAGACTCGACTTTTCCAGTTTTTTATTGCAGTTCAAGTCGTACAAGTCCAATTTCCAGAGCTGAAGACTGAAGAGTGAAGCAACCGACAAGAGCCACACGTTTATGAAAACAAAGACGGGAAGAACTTTCTCAACAATATTTGATTTGTGTTGTAAAAAACGAGTCCCAAGTTTGTTCAGCTGTTAAATCTGACACACACACGTCAATCTAAAGTTTAAAATATGTTTTGGTCGATAAACTGATTCCTTGATTTATTTTTTCAAATTAAACTGCTTTTTTATTCTGTGCTTTTATTTCAGAGCAACGACACAATAAAGAGTGAAAAACTGGACAAAGTGTTTAGTCTTGTAAAACTTTTGACCGGTCGTGTATTTAGACACAGAGTTTGATTCAGAGCGAAGGTTTGACAAAAACAGATTCTGTTACAAAAAGAATCAGACGCTGCACAAACTCAACTGGTTCAGTCAAGTGTTTACGGAGGAAACAGGGTCAGATTTTTGACATTCAAATGTCTCTTATTCAGAAACTAGAGGAACTATTGAAATAAGTAAAGTATCAGAATGTAGGAAAGAGTTACACTCCAACAGGGTCAAGTTAAACCTGTGAGATTCTTTCAAGTTCAAGACAAAAAATTTAAAAACTCATGTCGGTAACGGAGGGAATGAAATACAATAAATCCAAACAGTGATAACTCTTGGTTCTCACTTCCATATCCTTAACAAACTGGTTTGAATATTTGCTTCATATAGTTTTCTACCATATGGTACAAGATTAGGTTGAAAAACCTCTGACTTTTTGACTCGTGAGATTTTTTATTAAGAAAGTTCATGGTAACGGAGGGAAAATTGTACAAACAAGTAGAAGGTGCAGGATTTTACATCATTTGTCACTTTTTTCTTCTGAAAACTTTAATATTACTTCAAAATGAAAGAAACTATTTCTATAAAATATGTCAGTCCTTCCAAGAACATTTTTATCATTTAAAAAAAAATAAAAATAAAATAAAATCCTGTCCCTTCATCAACAGTTCAAAGATGGAATAACACAAGATATGATGAAATACAAACATTTGTTAACATGATTTTGTCTTTGAAATTTGGGGAATAATTTTTGTTCCATGTTTCATACATGGTCTGTTTAAAACGTCTGGAACTTTAGAACCAAAAATGGAACAGAAAAAAGGTCAACAGTTTGATAAACTCGAGTACATATGTATCTGTTCAATACACTTTTATATCAGATGAATTCAACTTGAGTTTTTGGTCTTGTTGTTTACTTCTGTTTGACCAGGACCAACTGTTTTAACAACTCAAAACCAACTCTGCTTTTCTCACTCTTTTATTCAGAGTCTTTTAACCTTTTCTTTTGCCTGTTGGTTTTGTGGTTTGTCAAAGATAAAAACAGACTGAACATTTTAAAAACGCGCTCAGAGACGAGCATCAGTGTCCAGACGCCCGACCTCAGCTCCTCATGAAACACACAAACGTTTCACCGGCCGCTCACATTCAAACACTCATCAAACATTTCCTCACACATTTATCCACAGAAAACCCCGACCCGGACGTTCCACAGAGCCACAGAGCCACAGAAGGACACGTCCGGCTCTGGGTGGTGCAGTACCTTTAATGTCCTGGTGGGGGCCCATCCTGTCCCATCGATGGAGTGTTCTCTCAGAAGGCTGCACACAGAAAAAGAGAGTTTAAAGCTCCTGTGTCCACACACTCTCAAACATGTTCTGACGTTCTCACGTTCCTCCTCGACGCTCTGTTCCACCTTGTGACGTCATGAAGTGGTCGTTTCCAAGTGAACGGCTTGGAAACAAATCTCTACTGAACCTTTAGTTCAGCGCAGATTTGTAACTCCAGGTTCTGAAGGTGAAGGTGTGTGGAGCACTTCCTGTATCACCACATGACATCACAAGGTGGAACAGAGTGTGTTCAGTTTGAGAGAAGAACTCAAAGAAGAACTCAAAGAAGAAGAAGAAGAAGAAGAAGAAGAAGAAGAGTATAAATGTGCAGGGTTTGTTTGTTACTCTCAGTTTACACCAAAGCATCAGCAGCAGAACCTGATCAGGTTTGACTCTGTTTTACTCCCTCAGAGTCACTCGAGTGACACAGGTCCTCACAACTCCACTCGTCGCTCAAAGGTGTGTGTGTCAGGTGCATGTGTGTGTCAGGTGTGTGTGACAGGTGCATGTGTGCGTGCGTCAGGTGTGTGTGTCAGGTGCATGTGTGTATCAGCTGCGTGTGTGTCAGGTGCGTGTGTGTCAGGTGCGTGTGTCAGGTGTGTGTGTCAGGTGTGTGTGTCAGGTGCGTGTGTCAGGTGCGTGTGTGTCAGGTGTGTGTGTCAGGTGTGTGTGCCAGGTGTGTGTGTCAGGTGCGTGTGTCAGGTGCGTGTGTGTCAGGTGCATGTGTGTGTCAGGTGTGTGTGTGACAGGTGTGTGTGTCAGGTGTGTGTGTCAGGTGTGTGTGCCAGGTGTGTGTGTCAGGTGCGTGTGTGTGTCAGGTGCGTGTGTGTGTCAGGTGCGTGTGTGTGTCAGGTGCGTGTGTGTGTCAGGTGCGTGTGTGTCAGGTGTGTGTGTCAGGTGCATGTGTGTCAGGTGCATGTGTGTCAGGTGCGTGTGTGTCAGGTGCGTGTGTGTCAGGTGCGTGTGTGTCAGGTGCGTGTGTGTCAGGTGTGTGTCAGGTGTGTGTGTCAGGTGCGTGTGTGTCAGGTGCGTGTGTGTCAGGTGCATGTGTGTGTCAGGTGCGTGTGTGTCAGGTGCGTGTGTGTCAGGTGCGTGTATCAGGTGCGTGTATGTGTCAGGTGCGTGTGTGTCAGGTGCATGTGTGTCAGGTGCATGTGTGTCAGGTGTGTGTGTCAGGTGTGTGTGTGTGTCAGGTGCATGTATCAGTTGCGTGTGTATCAGGTGCGTGTGTGTGTCAGGTGCGTGTATGTGTCAGGTGCGTGTGTGTCAGGTGCATGTGTGTCAGGTGCATGTGTGTCAGGTGCATGTGTGTCAGGTGTGTGTGTCAGGTGCATGTATCAGGTGCGTGTGTGTCAGGTGTGTGTGTCAGTGTGTGTGTGTCAGGTGTGTGTGTGTGTCAGGTGTGTGTGTGTGTCAGGTGCATGTGTGTCAGGTGTGTGTGTCAGGTGCATGTGTGTCAGGTGCGTGTGTCAGGTGTGTGTGTGTCAGGTGCATGTGTGTCAGGTGCATGTGTGTCAGGTGCATGTGTGTCAGGTGCAGTGTGTGTCAGGTGTATGTGTCAGGTGCATGTGTGTCAGGTGCGTGTGTCAGGTGCATGTATCAGGTGCGTGTATGTGTCAGGTGCGTGTGTGTCAGGTGCATGTGTCAGGTGCATGTATCAGGTGCGTGTATGTGTCAGGTGCGTGTGTGTCAGTGTGTGTGTCAGGTGCATGTGTGTCAGGTGCATGTGTGTCAGGTGCATGTGTGTCAGGTGTGTGTGTCAGGTGCATGTGTGTCAGGTGCATGTGTGTCAGGTGCGTGTGGTGTCAGGTGCATGTGTGTCAGGTGCATGTGTGTCAGGTGCGTGTGTGTCAGGTGCATGTGTGTCAGGTGCATGTGTGTCAGGTGCATGTGTGTCAGGTGCATGTGTGTCAGTGTGTGTGTCAGGTGTGTGTCATGTGTGTGTCAGGTGTGTGTGTCAGGTGCATGTGTGTCAGGTGCATGTGTGTCAGGTGTGTGTGTCAGGTGCATGTGTGTCAGGTGCATGTGTGTCAGGTGTGTGTCATGTGTGTCAGGTGCATGTGTGTCAGGTGCGTGTATGTGTCAGGTGCGTGTGTGTCAGGTGCGTGTGTGTCAGGTGCGTGTGTGTCAGGTGCATGTGTGTCAGGTGTGTGTGTCAGGTGCGTGTGTGTCAGGTGCATGTGTGTCAGGTGCGTGTGTGTCAGGTGCGTGTGTGTCAGGTGCGTGTATGTGTCAGGTGCGTGTGTGTCAGGTGTGTGTGTCAGGTGCATGTGTGTCAGGTGCATGTGTGTCAGGTGCGTCTGACCTGAGGCAGATCTCTCCGTTCTCTGTGATGTTCGGATGCCAGATTCTGGTCACACAACGAACTTTAGGAGGCTGAAAACACAACACACGTTTAAAAGACAAACACATTTTCTTTTCCTCCTCCTCTTCCTCTCCTTCGTACTCACCACCATGTTGTAGGCTTCAGGGACGTCGATCTGGAAGTGAAACGTTCCGCTTTGGTAATATCCCTCATCTGCAGAGGACAGAGAGGAGCTGAGGTGAGCGACGGGTCAGATCTGTGGAGAGGCGCCTCGCTCACACAACCAACACTCGATTAAGTTCAGGAAAAACATCGGGATAAAAGATGAACAAATTCTGAAGTTAAAGTTTTTACTCCACGTCTTGACTCGACTGTAACGCGTCACATATTTAAATCTCCACGTTCCTTTTATTGTTTTGGAAATTCTTTATTCGCCCAAAACAACAGATTCACGTTTTATAAGTTTCACTTTTGTTTTTGTCGCTCTGAGTTTCTGTTCAGGCTCCAGGTTCAATTCTCTTTTCAGATTTTTTAGTGAAATGTGATTTTATTTCCGAGCTCGTTCACATTTCCAGTTAAATGTGACTTGTGTGTGATCTCCAGTGTGAACTTTAAACACACACGACCACGTCACACACACAGCGAGTGTGTTCAGTTTACAGAAGTCGCCTAAAATACTAAAGATGTGACAGAAACAGAAACATCGTGAATCATCACAATAAATCGACTCACAAAAGTCTCTGTGTGTAAATGAAGAGTTAAAAACACAGAGGAACTACATTTCCCACGATCCTTTGCTCCATTTCGGTGCAGACGACAAGAAGAAACAACACTTCTAACACCTTTAACTCTCAGTTCTTTGGATTAAGTTTTGTTGAGACGTTTGAAGAGGAAAAATTCACAATTTTGTTCATCTCCACAAAATATCGTAATAAATATCGTACAGTGAGATTTCGATATCGTTACATCCCTAAACATCTGGTCCAGTTGTTGGTAAAATGTTCAGGTCACACGTCCTCCTTGTATTTTCTCACAGACTCTTTATTTTTGTTGTTGCTGTTGGAGTCAGGTCGACCTGTAGCCGCGCTCGCACATTTCAGACGCCTCCAGTTTGACCTGAACACGTCGATCCCCCCAAATCTGAACGAACTCTCTAACCTCACTCTCCCTGCGCTGACCAGACTCGACCTGTAGCTGGATGAATGTGACCTGGACGACCTGAAGTCACATGTTAAAGATCAGATATGTATCAGTTTCAGGAGCACAGATCCAAGTGTCCTGGTCACATGTGAAAACATCAGATCTGTGTGGTTCAGACATTAAAAGATCAGATACAGGAACATAGAGACAAAACATCTGATTTGGGTCACTTCAGGGTGCATCTGAACACAGCCTACGTCTAAGGAGAGATCTCTAGATGACTCAAACATGACGGATAAAAGCTCTTCAGTCGGGTTTGTGAGGAGGAACAGCGTCAGAACATGAGAACATCAAGAGCGAGCGGCGTCCAGCAGAGGGCGCCAGAGTCACAGTCAGAGGTTTTACCTGGGGACACGGCCAGTTCAAAGTGATGAAGTTTGTCTTCGTCGGGGAAACTGGCCTTACACGTGCCTGCGGACACACAACCGGAAAAAACACACAAAGATCACAACAGACGCACAACTGACCGTCAAACACACAACTGACCGTCAAACACACAACTACACACAACACACACCTGACCAGCAAACACACAACTGACCGTCAAACACACAACTGACCGTCAAACACACAACTACACACAACACACACCTGACCATCAAACACACAACTGACCGTCAAACACACAACTGACCATCAAACACACAACTGACCGTCAAACACACAACTACACAAAAACACACAACTGACCGTCAAACACACAACTGACCGTCAAACACACAACTACACACAACACACACCTGACCATCAAACACACAACTGACCGTCAAACACACAACTGACCGTCAAACACACAACTACACACAACACACACCTGACCATCAAACACACAACTGACCGTCAAACACACAACTACCACACACATGACCACAAACACAACTGACCGTCAAACACACACTGACTCAAACACACAACTGACCGTCAAACACACAACTACACAAAAACACACAACTGACCGTCAAACGCACAACTGCACAAAAACACACACCTGACCGTCAAACACACAACTACACAAAAACACACAACACACACCTGACCATCAAACACACAACTACACAAAAACACACAACTGACCGTCAAACACACAACTGACCGTCAAACACACAACTACACAAAAACACACAACTGACCGTCAAACGCACAACTGACCGTCAAACACACAACACACACCTGACCATCAAACACACAACTGACCATCAAACACACAACTACACAAAACACACACCTGACCATCAAACACACAACTGACTATCAAACACACATGACCACAACTGACACAAACACACAACTACACAAAAACAAGGTCACTTGTTTGTGTTTGTGCTGTTTTGTTTTAGTTTAGTTTAGTTTAGTTTTAGTTTTAGTTTTGGAGACATAAATGATTTTTTCAAAGGTCAAACTGGGGTCACGGCTCGAGGAAACTTCAAAATAAAATAAAACGACACAAAAAGTGCGTCGATCGTTTGTGTTGTTTAAAGTTTTGTTTGTGTGATTCTGGTTTTTAGGACATTAACTCTTCCAGACCTGAGGACAGTTTTAGTACATTTGTCCTCGCTTGGATTTTTTATTTTTATTTTGTTTTTAAAACTTCCCTTTTTCCCCTGATGAAGTTGTTCTTCATCCTTTTTCTCACTACGACCTGTTCTGTCACAATCTGCTGCTCGACTCGACTCATGTGGCTGGAATAAAAACTACAGGAGCAGAAATTCTCTAAAAAACTCTTTTATACAAACTCACAAACGTGTACAAACAACTTTATGGACACACAAATGTTTCATTTAGAGCCTTAGGAACAAAAGTGCAAAATATCAAGTTTGTAAAAAAAACTACAAAATCTCCTTATTGCCTCGAAACAAAAAAAGTGCAGTGTCCCCATGACTCGACTGGTGCAGGTCGTGGAAACAGCAGGAGTCAGGTCCAGGTCACAGAGACTCATCACTTCTGTGTTTCCATGAGTTTATTACATTTGGATTTGGACATTTAGACTCAAATAAAACTGAAAATAAAATCTCAGCACTTCGAGTTTCAACTTTTTCACTTGTTCTGACCCAGACGCTCAGAACATCGAGCGTTTTGACTCAACACACTCTTTGGAAAAGTTTGGACCAATCAAAATGGACGGAGCCAAAACAAACTTCCTGTTGGATAAATCTGTGCAGTTAATAACATTTTGGTCAAGATTTCGATTTGAGTCAAACGAGCT